CAATGTACTTAAATATCAAGTATTACAGCTCTGTCGTGTACGGCAGTGCATTATTTTTCAAGTTCATTGGTTGGTCACGATTTCTAGAACCTCATTTACGCAAAATTGTCAATCAAGTAATTAAAGATAATTCATATTATGCGCATTCGGAAAATATCTTGTTATCAATGTTGTTTGATGATAGCAAAGAAAAGCGCGACTGTGCCATCAAGAAAATTCTACGCTATCGAACCGATGTTGACGAGCCAATGGAACTTAGAGTTTATAAAAAACCAGATATAAACTTTAATTGCACAAGTTATACGGAAATGATCAATTTGAATGATATAAATATCGTATTTGAACCACCATTCACGCGAAGCATTCCGTACGATACATTGAAAGAATATTTAAATCAAGATGATCCACCGTTTAATGATCCAAAAATTCCATCACACATACAAGGAACGGAACGACATGTTCAATTGCTAGCTAGCGTTTTCAAACGGGTTATACCGGAAAATGTAGAGGCTGTTATGGCGACGACATTAGAGAGCCGTGCGAAATTGCCCAGACTTGAAACTATAACTCACTTAAATAAATTTTTTCATTTACATATGTTCTGACTAAATAAATTTCTTAAGAGAAAAAATAGATATTATTATAAATAAATAATAAATATTATTATAAATAAATAAATAAAAATAAAGAAAAAACATAGCCATTTAGCTGATTTTTTCATGTAAAGGCTCCCCCCCAGGGGAGTTCCAGGGGGTGTGCCACTGGCATGGGTGGATCGGCCGTCCAAAGTTAGTGGGGGTCGGTCATACATTTGGACTCGATTGGAGCACTCTAAATGGGTCAAAGTGGGATTTTTCAAAATTTGCCCCTACCCAAAAGTTCGACCCAAATTGGGGGACATCAGAATTCGTTTTAGAGGTATGGTTCCTTCGGCAAAATTTCTTATTTTGATCCCTAGAATACGATTTTCACAGAGCAATGAGCGATTTTTAAATCGACCCGCCCTAATACACACATACACAAAATATTTTTCTGGTCCTTAATCAATCCCTTGCTTTGAAAAATAAAAAAGTGGTTCCGCAAAAAAAGGGTTAAAGAGTAAAAGAGATAACTTCTGTCACACCTTTCTATTCAAAATCTTGGTGCCTCAAAAGTAATTGAACAAAAATTTTTAAAGTTAATTATTTCCCAATGTGAATGGAAAAAAGTAAAAAAAATCTGAGCATATTTCGGGCCAAGTGGAGTAGGGAGTAGATTTTGAATTTAAAAAAGAAATGGGAGTAAATCTACCCGCTCGGAGCAAAGTCCGGACGCTGTTTACAATTAAGAAAGCGTGCTAAATTTAAAAAAAATAGCATATGAAAGAGCACCAGCCCAACTCGTAATTCATTTAAGTATAAAAAGTTTAGTATAGAAATATTCAATTCAAATACGCCCATATTAAATTGAAGCGCTTTGCACTTACCGATTGCTTTTTCATAATTAAGTTAAAAAAATATTTAAATTCCATGCTGCCTGTAATGGGATTTGACCCTGACCCTCTGGAAATTAGCAAATTGTGGCAACCATCTTCACGCACAGACATGTATGTAAATGTGCATTCAAATGTTAAGTTTGAATCAACACCACGCGTGCGTGGTATGAAAATATTATTTTAAAATACGAACATTTTAAAACGATAATCAAATAAAAAATATTCATTTTTACTGTGCGTTATTTCCCTCAGTGAATTCATAAAATTTTCCGAATATT